AGAGAGAGAGAGAGAGAGAGAGAGAGAGAGAGAATGAGGTTGCAGGTGAGTTTAGAGAAAAACATGCTGAAAGAAATGTAAAGAAATGAGGACAAAAGTGTAGATTAAATTAGAGAGAGAGGGAGGGAGAGAGGAAAGGGTGTCAGTGTTGCTAGTATCTGAACCTGTTGCTAGAGAGTGTGCCTAATAACACCTTCGGGGCCACTGACGTACTTATACGCGGGCTGCGCCTGACCGAGTCGGACCACCGCCGTATATTTATGTGACCGATGTCAATACCACTCGTTCAAGCCAGTCCAGGTTTATTCCAAACTATCCATGTTTTCTGACTGCTTGTTCAACTCAGAAAAGTTCTTTCCCTTTTGAATTCACCGAAGTTGAAGCCAGTTTGAGTTGATTAGAAGAGAAAAAAAATGTCGTCAAAAAGAGTATTTTCAAGGGATGTATGCGGCGGCTCCAGTCCTCGGGATAGGATCAGCTGGTGTGGGGCCGGTCCCGAAGGTGTTAATGTGCTGATTCTTCAGAAATGGCGTTTCTTGTTTCTGTGTTATTTTGCTTGTTATGTTTATTCCTGTGGGTGAGGATCTTTGTGCGCGTGCATGCATGCATGCATGTGTGAAGAAGTGTCTGTAAACAGTTCATTTATGTGTGTGTGTGTATCTGTGTAGGTGTGTGTTCTATCTTTGCACTTTTTTTTTCTATCATGTCTGTAAAAGCTTTGCATATCGTATTCATCACTCCTACTGGTTCTGCATTGTGTGGCGAAAATCCGCTTTTCTTGTGTTTCAGTTGCTGTTTTTATCAAGACAAGGTCCTGTGTTGTTTGAAGCTATTTCAACTTTCTTAATGCTCGTCTCATGTTCTCTCAGTATCGTTTATTCATGATGTTCTGTTCTGTAACAATTTATGACTGTGTGATGTTAATCAGTGTGTATGAGAGTGTCTGGGTAAGTTTGTGGGATTGTCTTTACTCAAGGATGTACTGGAGAGAGAGAGAGAGAGAGAGAGAGAGAGTAAAACACAAAAGAAAAGAAAAAAAAAGAGAGAGAGAGAGAGAGAGAGAGAGAGAGAGAGAGAGAGAGAGAGAGAGAGAGAGAGAGAGAGAGAGAGAGAGAGAGAGAGAGAGAGATGCATGTTCTTTGTATTATTGTACAGTGCATTGAGCACTTCTTTGTGGAAATATGCTATATAAAAACGGTTTCTTTATTACTTCCTCTACTTGTGAAGATTCCTCATGCACAATGCTTGCTGAAGTATTCTATGCTGTTAGCCCTATGCCCTGGGCAAATGATTGCTGTTGTCTCCAATTCTTGTCCATGTAAGAGAACATGTTTGGTATATTTGAGATATTACCGTTATGTACTTTATGCTGATGCTGTTGTGTTTGTGTCTTTCAGTCTCTGAAAATGCTGAAAAATGCTGAGTTTATGCCATACATTGCGTTTATCGCTGCGCCGAGTGTGGAAGCTCTCAAGGTCATGTATGAAGAAGGGCGACGTTTTGCCAAAGGTGGCAGGGTGAGTGGAAGTATATTTGTTTCGCTGTCACTATGGAGGTCAAGAAAACTGTGGTGAATCTCTGTGGTAACAGTGGGTGGCTGGCGGGTGCTCTGGTGTGGTTTGCTTCTTCTTTCCTATCCAACATCTATCATCTTTGTCTCCCCTCCTTCTTTTTTGTATTTGTTACTCTCTTGTAACACTTGCAATCTTGGGCACTCATATGACCTTATTGTGTTGCAAGTGCCGTAAAACAATTACTAAAACTAAACCTGTGGTGACACTTTTAGTTTATGTATTGGTCCTTTTCATGTCCTTGGGGGGGGGGGGGAATAAAAAATATGAGTTGAACTATGAGTAAGTCACCCTTCTAGGTGATCCATGAAGCTAGTGCCATTTAGTTTATTCACTGCTTTCAAAGAAAGTCAAAGGAGAAGAATGCACAGTTTCTTCTCCTCGCTCATTTACAAGTTTTGCAATGACCAAGGGGGCAAGTAAGATCTATTTTAGTGTTATAGAATTTCCAGTTTTCTCCATAAAATTGTTAGTGATTAGCATTTGTCTTTCTTTTTTTTGACAGCTTTTCTATACAGTTAAAAAAAATATCCATGTGTCTTTTTGCAAACAATCTGAGAAATGTTTGTACCTTATTAGATTACGACGGCTCTCATATACAGTGGACGTCTTGTGTATGCAATCTGCAAATTAAAAGACTATTCTTTGGTGGAAAAGCCACAGTTAAAGTGGGTGGATGGAATATGCTGTTGTTTTTGTCCTAAACATTTCTGTGTGGCGTCATATTTTGTTCCTTCTGAGATTTGCACCAAATCACATCACATATACTTGAACTTGAAGTAAACTAACCTGTATTATTAATATGTTTTACAACATGGTGGAAACAGGCGCTCGTTAGCTTTTGGATATATGGAGTTATTGGTACCATCATAAAGCATGTTCATTTGTCTTGCTTCTGTTAAAAAATTACCCATCTATCTTAAATAGAAGTCGAGATATTTGCAATTGAAGGAGGTGGGTATCGCCTGATTTCAGACGAAAAATTAACGAGAAAACGGCCACCAAAGTCTGGTGTTTTACGTAGCTTGAGACCTTTGAAACAAATAATTTACATTTGGTGTGCATTTTATCAACCTTTTCACTGAAATGTTCACAGAAATGTGATTTTCAATAGATAGAAAAGGTGTTAAACCAGAAAAAAAAAAATTTGATTTCTCTGAATTCATTATTTTTGATGAGCGCTGATTTCACCACACTGCTTCACATATATGTGACTGATAGCATTTTGTGTCTCTGTCATTGCCTACCGCTGCATGTTTATTGTCAGGCTGAGAGTTGTGGTTGTGGAATGGGGGGGACCAGCTGGCCAAAGGAGTTTAAAAAAATTGTTTTTAGTAAGTCTTGGGGGCTTTGTTCAGAGTGGATATACGAGTAATTGTATAACTTTTTCATTTAAAGAAATGTTACTGCTTTATCAGTTTATCATTGAGAGAAGTATTTGTGAGGCAGCATGGTGAAATCGGGTGCTTGTCAAAATAAAGAAATTAGAGAAGCTGGCATTTGTCTGCCAGTTTGGCAATTTTATAGAATTTTTATTTTTTTGCTAAACACCATTGCTGTCCAATTAAGAACACATTTCTAGGTGGATTTTACTTGAAAACGCTGAATAAAGGCTCAAGAAAGTAAGTTTTCAGTTTACAGTCTCTCAAGTTAAGGAAATAATTCTTATTTGGCGGCCATTTTCCCCACTAATTTGAACTCTGAAACCATGTGACCCCCACTTCCTTCATTTGTAAATATCTCGACTTCTATTCGAGATAATTGGATATTTTTTTCTTCAAAAGCAAGACAAATGAAAAAGCTTTAAGGTGATACCAAGAACTCTACATGCCCCAAAGTTGATGAGAGCCTGATGCCACAGCGCCATGACACATTTTATCATTGAGAGAAATATTCTAACTTTCGTCATTTCAAGACTTTTTATGTTGAGAAACGTTAATCATTTCCATTCTTTCCTTTCTTTATTTTCCTCAGGGTCGAGGAGGAGCATCAGTTGTAGAGGTGAAAAGTGTAAGTAAAACTTGAGATGGCTCTTCTATGCTCGATCTAGATTTTGTAATCAGTAGTTTTGTTTTACTGTCTTTTGCCATTATTTTCTGTAACTTTTCATTATTTTCACTGAAAAAAGGTTGGAAGAATAGTTATTGTTCTCAGCATTTGATGTCTATTATTAATTTAGTTGTGCCTCGTATTAATTGTCTTTTTGCTATCAAATGCAAAATGGGGGGGGGGGGGGGGCTGCTGCTGCCTGACTTTACTCTTACTCCTGTCTGCTTTTTTCCCAAACGTGGTTTAATGGTGAGCCTTTTTCCCTGCTTTGTAAAGGCATCAGTTGGATTCCCCTTGAGAAAAGATATTTTAACAAGTATCATGATATCTCCTTCTTTCTGCTGGGATGCGTCTTGCACAGTTTGCCGCATGGTCGAAGCAGACTTCCTTCTTAATGTTCAAAATTGTGCCAGTAGAAGCGTAAATCATCATGTCTGTCTTTTTCTATTTTCCAGGAGGAAGATTTCATCACCACTGTGAATGAGAGTGCCCGCATCGAGAAACAGTTTGGCAGCTACTTTGACGAGATTATTGTCAATGACAATTTTGAGGAGACGTATCGACTTTTACGCAAGTCTCTCAACGACATGACCAGCAAGCAGCAGTGGGTGCCTGTCAACTGGGTCCACTAGAAGTGAACATGGTGTGTGCCGGTCATCTGAGTCCAAAAGTACTCCCTGCTGTGGTTGTGTTTTCTCAGGGTAGGGGCAGAATTTGTCAGGAAATCTGCATTTATAAAATGTTGTATTTGTATCCCGAGCACTACCAACCAGGACGGTTTAGCAATGTGGAGTGTTGTCCTCCTATAGAAGAATGCGGATTACAGAGTGCATTGCCTTTGTATACTAATATTGTTTCAGTAGGGAAAATAAGGTGCTTTTTTTCCCCATAGTATACTGTTCTGGTGCAGGGTTTTTGGTAGAACTTAAGTGAATGGTTGTGGTAGGCCATTTAAGGTAACTTGTTGCCGTGTTGTGTGCCCTTTCACCCCACCCACTGTCCCAGGGGAGTTTCAAGTTTGTAACTGGTTTGTGTTGACAGGACAAGAGAGTTTCTGTGGTCTCTTGGTACGCTGTGCAGAAGATACGAGACAAGCCCTCTTCTCCTCTTTAGCTTCTGTGGTTTAATGCTTAGGCTCTTTCCTGTGAGTGCTGGAAATGTGAGTTCACTTCCCAATGGAAGAAGATATTGTAACTAGTATCTCTCTATTTCTACTTGGGTTTATCCCTCATAGCTTATGATAGCCCTGAAAGGCAGGGTTCAAACAGCTTGCCTTCTTTCTGTCATTAATTGTGTCAGTTTGGTGTTTGACGTTTTACCCAACAAACTCTCCCATTAATATCTCAACACTTTTAACACTTTGCAGTCACTTCACGCAATAATGCGATGGTGAAAATTATCCGTTCCGGTCACCTGGCCCCAGAAGTTAGTTGCAGTCACTCTCCTGGCTGGGTGACCAGATGGGGTATTTTTTACTGCTGGCTGTGTGACTGCAGTGTTATTATGTGTGTTGAGTCTTCATGCTAGCTGGTGGTGTGAGGTTGTTTTGTGGGTGGCATCTGAGTGTATACATGTATGCTCCACTCACATGTCAAGCAATGAGGCTTAGTTTTCCATTTTGGGATGTCCCCCTTCCTGTGTATCACATAGGTGACAAAGCAGCGATGGGAATGTAATCTGTTGCTCTGTTTAATTCACCACAATAAGACTCATATAGTTTTTGAGATCCTCTTCATCCTCTCAAATTCTCTTGCCTTGATGATAATTGTCCTGTAATGGTCATAAGGTTTGAGTTAATTAAAAAAAAAAAAAATTCATTCCATGTTATTAATTGGATTTTGATGCAAATTGTATAGTCTCTCAATTTGAGAGGTGTATAAACTTGTCATGAGATGGGTCAGGATGAACCACTGTTCTTTTGTGTTTGTTCAAGATTACTCTCTTGTACTTGTACTTTGAAGCTTGTAAGGCTGTTTTCTGTCCATTGTCTTCTTGTTTCTGTACCGTCACGCTTGACAGCTCATGGCCATATTTGTGAGGTGGTCGAGAAAAACTCACCCTAATTAATTAGGGTAGAGTGATGGATGCTTTGCACTCTTTCTTCTCCTTGTCATTTTCACTTGTTGTTCCCACCTTTCCCAGCCGTAGATGTTATTTTGTTGATGTTTCTCTAAATCTCTGTACCCACAATTGAAATGGGTTTTGTGATAATACTAATATTTTCTTATCAATCATTCCATTGCTCTATTTTATTTATTCTTAGAAAGCTGCTTTCTTTTTCTTAAAAAACTTATTACATGCAGCTTCTTAAATTGTAGGTTTATCCATGTAAACGTTGCATTCCAATTGTTTATGTCCAATGTTAAATATGGTGCATAATAATATGGTAATCTTGTTTTGAAGGATATCGCCAGCAACTTTTAATAACTTGTCCAGAGGACTAGCTTCATTTGATTCGCCTTACTTTCCATTTCTTCACTTCAGAAAGAATAAATGATTAATGAAAAAATCACCAGAGCTGTAGAGTGTCTACCATGGAGTATATATTTTTAGTCTTTGTGGATCAAAAAAATTCAAATTTTGGTAATATATGATCGTATTTCACAGAGCTGTCTTGTAAGTTAAAGTATTCTTTTCTGGTGCCGAGTTTGCACCTATTATTTTTGGCACTGTTGGTTAATATTATAAGCTATACCATTCTTTGTATTAAAGGAACTTTAAAATATAGATGACTTATCTCAGGAAAAGCTGTTATTGCAAATATTCAGTGTCATCATCGTCATCCTGTTCTAAGACCATAGCTGCCACTTTCCCCCTAAATAACGGAAACTCCGCTTCATCTAGCTTTTCCCGCTACTTTCCTCCTTCCCCCGATGGACCGCACTCGGTCGCAAATTGAGATACTTTTTTTTTTACACGCGAAAAACACCGAACCGGGAGAGAGACGAAAACACGGCTTGCGCATGTCCACCAGAAGCTTTCTACTTCTGTTCTTCTAGGCCTAGTGCTAGTTTCACATTGTTTATTTTGGGGCAACACAGTGTCGAACGGGCATCGGAACGTTGGCGCGCCGAGTCGTCTTTGAAAACAGTGGAAATTCGTGAGAAATTGATGCAGAATGCAAAAATAAAAGGAGCTAGAATGAGAAAGAAGCAGCCGGTGCGCGACTTTAAAAGTTCATTAGAAAATTGAACAAGCCGCTTGCTGCACTTTGCGTTTGGTGCGAAAGAATTCGCGGTCCCGTTTGTTTACATGACGGCTATTGTGGCTGTGGAAGTGAATCTAGATATCTATCTTTAGATCTAGATAATCTATCTCTAGATATAATCTAGATCTACACATTTTTAGATTAGATAGTCTATGCTATAATTTTGATTCAGTGACAAATTCGCTCAGTACAACGGCAAAGGTGTTGCCTTCTTGATCCAATACTGCTCTACATCGATGCACAAGTTTAAAGTGAAAGAAATCTTTTATGAGACACCAGCTGGCAACAAACACTGGATTTTTAGTCACTAAGTCCAAACTGTGTCAAATCGACTCAAATGCTTGTTAGTCAACTTAGTGCCTTTGGTGTTTTCTTTTCAAATACATTCTAATTCAGTTGCCTATGGTTATCAAATATGACAGTTTTCCCTTCTAAAACCGTAGATTAGATTTTCCAGTATATATTGCCTCTGGATCTCCCTGGTTTTACTCCGGCCTTCGGAGAGCGCATGTACGCCTTCGCGTGAATTTCCTCCTTTTTTGAAATTCCTGAGTGGCAGCTATGTAAGACATCAGGGATAATTTGCTTGTTGTGTGTACAGTGTTGAAAATCAAAGACTGAAATCTTCTTAATCCAAGGGTGGTTAATCCAAAAACATTGATACACTGAAAGACAGTAAAATTCCATATTTTTTTCCTTCTATCTGAGCAACCTTTGTAAAAAAAAAAAGTGGATAACCTAAAGAAAATCCTGTGGTCCGGCAGATTTCAGATTAAATGGACACTGCTGTATGAACAGATAAACCAGCAGCCATATGAAATAATGCAAAAATCTCCGGAAATGAAACTTCCTTATACTTTTAAAAACTCACTTACTTTGATGTATCTTTAGTTGGGTTTTTTCTCTGACATATTGCCTGATGGGTAATTGAAATATTTGGATTTGGAAAGACAGAATCCTTACTGCTGTCATTATTAATGTTACATGAAGGGTGAATGCTGTGTGCCACAGATGTAGAGATCTCTGTAGACTTAACTTGTTGGTGTGCAGTGGTTGGGACAGAAGCTGTGCACTGTGATATCACTGTTGTGTGTTCTTTGTGCTAAACTATGGTTATCCAACAGTTCTCTGGCGGGTGCTCTGGTGTGGCTTGCTTCTTCTTTCCTATCAAACTACTATCGTCTTTGTCTCCCAACCTTCTTTTTTTTGGTGTTTGTTACTCTCTTGTAACACCTCTAATCTTGGGCACTTAAATGACCGTATTGTGTTGCAAGTGCTGTAAAGCTCTTACTAAACATTTCTCACGCCCTACTCTGCTCAGATCCAGCATACGAAAGTTCCATCGTCTGATTTGCACATGAATTTTGCAAAATGTTTATTTGTTATTTTTGGTATTTTGATGCTCAGACAAAAAATTTGTTGTTGTTCAAAGCTTCAATTCAGCTCCCATTGTGATGGCAGGGTATGAACTTCAGTGTGCCTGTATAGTTTTGTTGTGATTTTTCGATTTATATTATCTAGTAATGGCAGTTTAACATTAAATAATAAAATTGGTGTCATTGTTGTTTTTAGGCTTGTTATGACAATGATCCACTTGGAAAGCTCTAATTATTACTTGAATTTATTTAGTCATTGGCTTTGACAGCAGCCAGAAGTATTGTCTGTAAGAGACTTAAATTCTTAGTAATTTTTTTTTTTTAATGCAAAGTTGACACTGTTGAAAAGCTCATATGACCGTATGGTGCTCCCCTCTGGTTTAATGACCAGCGTTTGTGATGTAGCGGTTAGGCGGTTTGCTGTCGCATGCAGGAGACCCCAGTTTGATTCCGGAGTGGGGAGAACATTTTTATCGAGTTTCTCTGCAGGGATGTGTCCTTCTCAGCGTGGATTGGCCCTGACAGGCAGAGTCTGAAGCCAGCCTCCTAAATGATGTAAATTGTGTCGATGGGGGTGTAAAAACACCTACATTTATATTTTTTAAATAAAAAAAAAATTCTGATTCAATGTAAATGGATCGATTAATTGTCTCCACAAAGCAGTGGTTGTTATTCCTATGATCAGGCCCACTAGTGCTTGCACCATATGTATTTTCATGGATTCTTTTCTGTGGCATTAGACAGTAACTTTAGATGCCATTATAAAGGGCTTTGTCGAAAAATCGTTTTATGTTTAGAAAATATTTTAAAGTATTGAATAGTGTAAATAGAGCCAAAGGTTTTTGAAAGTCTTTTATCTTCAAATTGAAATCTGTGTTTTTATGATGTGTATTTATTATGACATCTAGATGGTAGTTGATGACCATTTGATTTGTTACATTACTTTCTCTGTCTGGTGGTGCAGTAACATGTTTGTAGAATTTAGCTTATTGTTGATAGTATATATATCATTTGAGCGGTGCTCTAAAGTTGGTCGTCTAAGGAAATTATCTTTGAGGTTTATGATGATCAATTTTCTGTTGATTAATGATTAAACCAAGGAAAGTATTGATATACGCATAGATATATTGATTGCTCTTGTCTGAAATCTTTGTTCTTTTTTACCTTGTAAAATCTATAGTTAAAGTTGTCTTGATTAAACTATGCAAATTCATGTATGTGCAACAGTGATTTATTTGATTTGTTCCTCAGCTGTTCTTCTAACAGTTTCATTTTCACTTTTTTCATCATTAATTGCATTCCTAACTCTTATCCATTCCTCTGATTGGATGCATCACCGTTTGATATTCTTTTCTTGTCCAGTCACTTTCTATTTGTGCCATCTCCTTTGAGACAGCCTTGACACACACCAAGGAACCTTAAATTGCACGTACGCTCCATCAATAGCTTTACTGTCTGTGACTTGTTGTGTGTTTGTCATCTCTGGTAGCATAAATCTCACTGTTAAATATTAAATACTTCTGCAGCAATAATATTTTGATTCGGCAAAATGGTCAGAGGATCCTATATTTTCTTGTGGGTGCACATATTTTTTCACACTGTATATCGTTTCAATAGTATTCATGTCCCAGTATTTTCATGTGTTCACAACACCAGCCCCCACTCCACCATCCCCCTCACTCTGTGTCCAGCTACATCTTATATTATTCACCATCGCAACCATTCTTTGAATTCAGCATAGACTTCTCTGCCTTGCTCAAGTCAGGGGCCAAGTAGTTGCCCTTCCAAACTCTTTATCAAATAGCTGAGAGTCCCATTTTTGGGTGAATCTGCATCCAAAGATCTCTTTGAGCATTAAAGTTGTTGAGCCATTTTTTGCTTTTTTAACATTAATACTGAGAAGGTGAGAAGCAAATGTTATGAATGTCTATAATGTCTGGATTTTGGAAAAATGGCTCCTTTTTTTTCTGTAGAGCAATATGAGACTATGTAAAAATTAAAAGACCTCTGTCCACTATTTTAATATGACTGAGGGTGAAATATTTTTTCTCAGCGTCATTGACTTTGTGATCTGTACATTATACGTTTGAAATGGCGAAAAGTGATTTCGACAACATATTGCATCACTCATTGACATACATTTATGTTTGAGGCCACAATCAATTGTTAGACATCTGACAAAAAAGAGACTACGTCTTCAGAGAGGGATTGAGTAAGCATTAGTAAACATTTGCATTGCTCTCTTGAACGAAGCAGTGCCACTCCTGTTTTATATGACTGGGAGTGATATCTGGAGACTACAAAATCATTACATGTGTTATGTTCAATTTTTCCCACAGCTAAGTAAATTGTACTTGTATAATAATTCACAAACCAATTGATATTATAGTACTGTAATGTTTTTGTAGCTAACAGTTGATACTTACCAGCAATATTCTCATTGTTTCAGGGGAAAAATCCATGAATGGCTGCTGTGATTCTGTTGTTTATTACTCGACCAGAGGGTCAAATTTCAATTTCAAGTTGGGCACAATTTTATCTTGTCCATTTTGGAATATCATTTTCACAGTGGCTGTTGTGCAATTTGTTATTTGATGGGTGAGGGGAGGGGAGAGCTACTCTGTTTTAAGAAAATGAGTCGTACACAAAGTATGTTGTTACATTCCTGAAAAAGAAATACTTCATCCTTCTTAAATTTCCCTCTTTGTTGATGATTGTAATAATATACTCTCAAGATAATTAAGAACCCCTCCCCCCTCCCCGTGCTTCTTTTTTTCAACCTTTATTCATAATTTGGTTTTGTCTAACTCAAAATAAATTTCAATGGTATGCTTTTTCAGTCCTCCTCATCTTCATCCGTTTCTGTACTTCCTGCATTGACTCTCAAGGGAAGATGAT